AGAACCTTCTCAGCAGCGTGTCAAAGAAGCTCAATTCTATTTAAAAATTTGCTATTTTCACCTTAAGTTCATCTAATGCTCCGTGATCACGCTTGGACAGATATTAACAAGCTGAAATACAACTTCTTGTTAAAGAGATGAGCTCAAAGTACTAAATTCAACTGATGTGGATATCTTCAATTCAATAATGCGTCGTAATCAGCGTTCCTCTTCTAAGGCTCAAAAATTCATTCACTGAACCAAAATGATTTAAAATCTCAAAACAAAAATACAAGAGATCTTATACTATTAATGATGCCATATTCACAAATTAAAAAACGTTTCTATAAATCTTCTTAACAAGGTTCAACAAGACCGTGCTGATATCGGTTTCAGAGATCCGGCCTCTTGAACAATGTTACATTCTTCATAACGGAAAGAACTTTTCAGCAAACAAGACATATGGTGACAATTTCTAAATTAATTAACACTCCGTCGTTCTGTTCTACGAATTTGTTTCCCCACGCTGTATTTAATTGCGTTATAAGCCATATTATGTGTGTACGAGTTCCATTGTATAAATGCAAATTAAATTTTGCAATCAATATTTTATATTCTCGTTTAGCCGCCCGCCGTTGAGGCATTTGCTTTCAAACAAACGCATTCATGGTCAATGGAATTGATTTCTTGTTGTTTACATTTCATTATTTGCACGTAAATTTTTTGGGACGTTTTGCTTGTTATGACTAGATCCCTAGCAGGGAGCGTTTGCATTATTTGCTATTCGGAGAAGGATGGCGAATAAATCCAATTAATGTTTCGGTTTTGCGGCTACATGAACATTTATCGGTTTAAAAAAACGAGCGCGGGGAATAGGGAGAGGTTCCAATAGGCATAAGGAGTACCAATAAGAACAGGTGAAAAACAGTATGAAGTAATAAAAGTCGTTGAGAAGCAGTGAAAATAACTGAGAACAGCTAAGATCGAAAGCGAGCCAGAGATAGCCAACAAGACCGGGTAAGGACTGTGAAAAGGTAACAAAAAGGAAGAGAGCAACCGAGAAACAAGGAGAGCTTGGGGGAACTGGGATAGCTAAGATATAAGCTAATAAGAATCAACAAGAGATGGTGAAAACCACTCAGAGGCGATGGAAATAAAATAGGACCACTGAGGAGAGTGTAGTGACACAAAAGCTCACTCAGGGGAGCTACTAAGAGGCCGTAAGGATCAGGAAAACGAGTGAGAAGCGGTGAGAAGTAGGGCAATTTAAAGCTCTTGAGATCCCTTAGGTGCCCGTAAAAAACGGTGTGAGCAGTTAGAACTGGTTGAATACGGGGGAAACTGGAGGAAACTATTGATCAGTAGTGAGAATCGCGCAGAGCCAGTGAAAACTTGGCAGTGCCAATGAAAACCATTCAAAGCCACTGAGAACCGAAGAAAGGAAGGCGAGAACCAGTTATAATCGGTGAAAGTATTTAGAGTGGATGAAAGACATAGAAAATTCAGAAGAGTCAATGAAAACTTGACCGAAGCTGTAAATCCACTGATAACCGTTGAAAACCGGGAGCGCCAATGTGAGTCAGTGAGAATCAGCGAAAATAAATGCCCGATCTGACGATTTTATTTGTCACAACGAAGTTAGGAGAACCGAAACTTTCCTTGAGAAAGATTTAATGAGTTTTTTTTCTCAAGTTAGAGTCAATTGGTTAATTTTCATACGAAAATATACCCTTTGTATATTATTTTTTTTCAAATAGTATTTCCCATAAAGTTTGCATGTTTTTAATGAATTTTATTGCTATAAAAGCTACAAAAAAGGAAAAAGCAGCATTGTATATTTTCAATGTCATTTCGCATATATTTTAGCGCTCAGTTCAGCATGTACATACATACATATATATCACATAGCAACAATTTGGCTAACTGAGCGTGCCGCTACCTTCTCTTCTTAGACTAGCAGTCAATTAAATCGTGATGGTTTAGTGGCAGTTCTACGTCACTGTTGTTACCCTGGTGTGGCATAATATTCACGACACAAAGAAAAACCATAAAATAACGTCAACAAATTCAACAACAGTAGCAACAATACGGAAAATTGCTGTTTTATGAGCAACTAACTCAAAACACAAAATCAAAAACAACAGTAACCGAACAACCGAAATTGAGAGCAAATTGTTTATTGCTGTCACTGCTATTATGCATTGGCATTATTGTTGTTGTTGTTGTTGTTATTGTTGCAAGCGCAAATTTTGTCTCTGAAACTGTTGTGCGAGCACGCCGAGTTAAGCTTTGATGCGCGCATGCCACGCACCACTGATTTTCAAGTTTAACGACAACAACCCAAAAGCTTGTAATCAACAGCTGCAACAACAATAAGCAACAAATGAACAAATTATTAGCAACAATGCTGGAGCTAAACGTCAGTTGACGATAGAACAAAGCAAACATTTGATCGTGCGGCAGCTGACGTAGCAACAGTTGCAACAACAATAGCAAAAAATCGAGTAACAACAAAAACAATACGCAGTAATGCGAAAAATGGGTGATGGCAATGGCAGCTGGTCGATTTGGTGATGTTGGCTTTGTCAGTTGTCTGTGAGTCAAGCACAAAGGCGGAGAAAATTTAATGAAAAGACAGTAAAATATAGAAGTAATGCCGAGAAAACGAGCGATATTGTAACAAGCAGTTGGTGTTATATTAAATATGTGCTCTCAATTTTTTAAAGGGAAATTTTGAGCTCGATTTTAGTAAATGCATGGACTGGTTGACTAATTTTCGCGGTATATTTACTTAGAGGCAGTCTCTATCTATTAAGATTTAATCTCATATATTTTTTGATACTCAAATTATCTATTATAAACTCAAATATGATATGAGATTTATTTTTGTTATTTGTGACGAGCTTAATTGTCAAAACAAAGGGAGAGAAAGAGAAGACGAAAGTGGTAGTGTTTTTAGGTTTCAAAACAAGTATAGAAGTTGTTTCTCTCTTATAATATTTCTTTGTAAAAATAAACTTCAGTTTATGGTGATTATATTATAACTAAAAAATTGAGACTAATTAAAAAATTCAAATCTGGATAGGATAGAGCTATATAGAGAAATTTCGATTGATTCAAAACTCTTTTTTATGGCCAGTTCATTACGAAATTATTGACTATAAATTTAATTTTTCTGCTCAGACGCTTCTGTTCTATTGGTATATCTCGAAAAAAAATGTGGAAAACGGTTGGCCTCAAGGGCCATCCCTGCAACTTCCCGCTAATTTCATACGCTAACGTTCAAATTTCGCTTTTTTCACTGCTTTTGAGCTCTTCCAAATTTTTCGTTTTCGATATCTCGCAAGTAAATCTACCGATTTTGACCCGGTTTGCGGCAAACGATGTGTTTTTTCAAGGTTTAGAACTGATTAGTTTTTGGTGTCGATCGGTCAAGTTGTTTGGAAGAAATTTATTTTTGAGATTTCTCGAAATCTACTGGTCCGATTGGGTCCAAACTTACACGAAACTCAAGTGCAATGAAACCCTTTGGAATGCCATTTAGTTTATTCAAATCGGTTGAGCCGTTTAAAAGTTATAAGAGGGTCACATACATCCACACACACACACATACATCCACACATACATACAGACATACGGACATCATCGTAGAAATGTTCGGGGAAGCTTCCTCGACCCTCAGAACGTCGAGATCTGTTGAGAACTCGATTTTTGCAAAATGGGGTGAAACCAATATCTTCCCGGCTTTTAGAAAATTTTCAATTTTCTTAGCGGGAAGTTAAAAATTTATGAATATACATATGATTATATAATTAAAGAATAATATAATATTATAAAATTGTTCTCGTATCGATTTTTAAACTATTGTTCCTTTCTGACACCATTTTTGTATAAATACAAGTATGCTTTGAAATTATTATATACATGTGTCCCTAGTAGTAAGTAGACCATGTTTTGTATTGAAATATGGTTATTTTGTATAGAGCACTAAAGGTGTTGCCTACATTTTAGGATGAATCAAAAACAGAATAATTTCAATACCACAAAAAATAAACAAACCAAATGAGCGATATGTGTAAGTATGAAATTCTCGATAAGTATAGTGACATTTCGAAAAACTGCCTAATACCAATATTTCAGCCTTTTTGAGGCAACTCACCTTTCTAATATAGGAGATACACGACGGTTTGCAAATATTTCAGCAATTACATCGCCAAATACTCAAAAGGCAAGCTATAAGTTAATTAATAAAATAAACACTACTGATCTAATACCCCTTTTATATATAACGGGTGATCCAGGTAGGGGTACTTTTTTCAATAACCTTTTTTGGACCTATCACGCATGAGTCGTGCCAAGCTGTCATGTTATTTTTGTTCAGTATTGTTTGGCATTTTATCGTGGAAAGACTTACGCCTAACTTTTACAAATCGCTCAACATTATTACGAAAATTCACGTTCTGTAAAGAATGTGTTTCGCGCGCTTCGCTCAACTTATGGGCAACATAATCGGCCTACTGAGCGTACTATTTGCAATACCATTACCCATATTGAGACCCACTATTCATTATTGGATAATATTCGACTGAATAGAAAACGTCTAGCACGCAGTGAAGAAAATATAACGGTCGTAGGTGAGACTCTACAAGAAGACCGTGGAGAGTCGATTCGGTCTGACGTATAGAACGACTTGGCGCATTTTACTTCGAGATCTTAAATTGAAAGCGTACAAAATACAGCTTTTGCAAGGACTGAAGGTGCTCGATCTTCCCAAGCGACATCGCTTCGATCTATGGGCTCTTAAAAAGTTCAAAGCAGATTCCACGTTTTCAAGCTAAATTTTGTTCAGCGATGAGGCCTATTTCTGGCTCCAGGGGTATGTTTTTATTAAATTAAATAGTTTTGAAAAAATTTTATTAAGAGTTTTTATGATATATTGTGAATCTCAATTTTCCGATTTTATTACTCCTGGATATTTTTACTCAAATAAATAATTAATTTTACTAACAAAAAGACATTCATTTTCCTACTTTTTAAAATAAAATTATTCTTTATTGTGTTTGGCTTTACATATTCCATCAGTTACATGTTATTTGGCACTATTGTAGAGGTGATGGAATTCTAGTAGGAAATATAGTATGAATGCTTAGAAAATAACTTAAGGCCTGGCCAGTCGACAGCCATCCACGCGAGCATATGTGTCGGTATACAAAAGATTGCAGACCGCGGCATTGTTGTCGAAACTCATTTCAGCCACTTTAAACTCCGGATTAACGGAGATTTTCAAAATGTAACTGCCAGTGTCCAATTCGGAAATATCTACCCACTGACAGTCCAAGTTGTAGAGATAAATGTCAGAGCAATTCACGGAAATACCTGGAAGTAGTAAAAATTTAAGAAAGATTGAACGATTTTATGGAATAAAAGGCAAGTAGTAAGTACCCTGATCGCCAAAATTTGCACAGTTATATTTCTTGGGTACACCCGACAGACATTGATTGTCCTCCAAACAGAAAGAAGCTTTATGACCCTGAGCCACTTTGCTGCCCAATAGATCGTAGACGTCGAATGTGGCAAAGACCTCCATGCTGTGATAATGCCTAGGAATAGAAGGAATAAGTAACATACAGTTTTTACTTTAAAGCTTTGTCGTACATATGACACATGTGCCACTCCCAGAGATGTTTTTCCTTAAACGGCCTAAAATCCGTGTTTCCCGCATTCAGCGTACTAGCTGTGAACTTAAGCAGCCGCCGTGTTGCATAACGCCAATTCGGATCGTCGCGCTGTATGTCATAGGCTTCATTCGCCACACAATTTTCTTCCATTGCGCACTGCATTAGCGCCATCGGACGATCCTCCAGGTGCGCGGTACGTTCAAGCTCATAGAAATCCACCACTAAATCGGGCGCTAGGTGATCACACATGACTACCGCTACATGATTACGTTCGCCATGGCACTCTGCTGGCGGTCGTAAGTGATCGTGATGGAGACATTGAGCCAACGTGGTCTCATTGCCATAACACTCGGTACCACTCAACACCGCTGGTGCCATATCCAAACCACCAAAGTAGTCCGTCTGCAATGCATCGCGTGCAAAACCCAACGACAACTGACGGCATACCACATTTGCTTCCAGCAGCGACCAGCCATCCGAACATATGGTACCCCAACGACCACTATCGATACGCACCTCCACACGTCCTTCGTTTGCATGTCGCCCACCACGTAGCCGCAAGTCGATGCGATAAGCATGCGGTAATGTAAACTTGGATAGTAGTGCTGGTAAAGGCGCCTCCGTAATACGTTCGGTGTCTGGGCTCTCACATATCACACCAGCCGCTTCATTGGCCTCGCAATCGTTTGTACCCCATCCTTCGAAATGACAGTCGGTGAGTTCGTGTTCATTACCCTCGCAATACATATTATCCATCCAGAAACGGCGTCGAGCTAAGCCAAAGTAGCCATCGTGTGTTACACGTTTCAAACCAGGATATCCCAATTGTCGGCAGACCACACGTCCCTCCAGCACATCCCACTCGTCATCACAGATGGCGCCCCATTTGCTATTGTGTAGAACCTCGATGTTGCCTGGAGAAAAAATAGAGATATGATTTTGACCACTCAGATATTAGAAGTATGTTCCAATTTCGCCAAATGATGTATAGTTTGGTTTTCGGAAAAAGTAATGTGTGTTTGTTTTTAGGGTAAAACTTCACTATTTCATAACTAGAGTTTATTAATCTCCGTGTATTCTGTAACTTAGCTATCTTCTAAGATACAAAATATAAGCGTTATTCTAGTATTTTTAAAAGATAGCAGACTCACTACGACACATTTTAGAAGGAACTTTCATGGACTTACGGACCCTCATATTTCGCTTCCATTTTAATTATGTTTAATCAGTCCTCGAAATTCCGCAAACTCTCAATAAACTGCTGAATGAGAATAACTGTATTGGTTGTGAAGACCCTGAAATCTTGGGACTCCAGAGTGCTATACAAATACTGTATATGTGGTCGACTTGTGGGACAATCCTGATTCTTGCCAAAATAGCTTGAGCAATATTTTGCTAAATTAAACAAATCTCAGTCAGCTTCGTCGAATAAAAAGTAACTAGTCAGATCTTTTCCTCATTCACTTGCCTTTTCATTCCCTTACCTTCATACTCAGTTTCGCCGCCTACCAACCGTATGGCGCCCTCCTCCTTATTCAGTGTTTTAATATATTTTTGTACTAGGCGTTGCCGCTCCTGACGAGCCTCCTCTAGTGTCCGCTGCACGGCGCCCATCACAAATCCATGCAAGATAAGTGTAATGAAAACAAGAAGCGGCAACCGACGTTGAAACAGTGTATGGAATAGTAAGGACATTTCACTCTAGAAATATTTTAGGATATCAATAAATTCCAAGCTAAAGCAAGGAACTTTTTTGTAATGAAACTTGCGCGTACAAATGTTAGAAACACGCTGATGCGCCGAAAAAAGAACTTTTGCTTTGAGCGGCAAACAAACCGCGACTATTTGCCAAACGCCACTAAACGGCGAACAAAAGTTTAATTATGCTCGAGACGAAAAATGTATAGCTAGCTTAGAGCGCACAACAACAGCAAACGAATGGGATGTATACGTAATGTTAGGCAACAACAAATGTTCGATAAAATGATAAAAACCAAATTTCGAAAATTCTATGAATAAAGGCAACCGTGAGGGGCGAAAAGTTATATTTAGAAAATTATATGATATATTTATTTATTTATTATTATGCGCTAAACATATTTTTAATGAACAAAAAGGGATTGGCAAATGCGGAACTTGGCAGCGGTCGCGGTAGTTCGGTACAAATGACACAATAGCACTTTTTTAACTGTTTCCCAGCCGCCAAAACTACAAAAAAGAATACATACAAGCATACGCGCATACGTAAAAGCCACATGGGGGTGCCCGTCCACCCAAAGTCGACGTCATTGTGTCACCAAAGTAGCCGAAATGTCAAGCAACATTTGGATCATTAGCTTCAGGAAGCGGCAGCAGCGGCGCGCAACTGAGAGGAGAGCACAAATCGAATGCGCAGAGGCATGATGAGAAACAATTAAGTTACCGATCGCGCAATAAGCATACAAAGCTTTTCATTTCATTGCAAAGCTGATGAAAATGCGACTTTGGAATAACAGCGTGCGCGACAAATGGACAAACATTATGGAGGAAAATAGCAAATACAAGCAAGTGAAAAAAAATAAAAATGCACAAAATACTGCAAAAGCAACATGCTTTATTAAATCAAACAAAAACACCAAAGCTCCAGCATATAATGACCCATAAATATAGTTACCTCAAATGCGAGCGAAATTGCTATGCGCACGCGATCACTATCGCTTGGCTGCGTTGAACAAAACGACGGACATGTTTTTCTCATTGCGACCGCTTGAGACCCCCTAAAACGCTGCGCCACTGTGTGGCAGCGAACAATTTTATTCGATAGCAACAACAAGCGTTGTTATTAACAATTGCCAATTGCCACACGCCATGCTGCTGCTGTTATGACTGTTATGATCGCTGCTATGATCACTGCTGATCATCGATTAAATTTTTAAATTGTTATGCGCGCGCAAATCGTATGATCAACGCGTTGTGGCAACATAAGTATTGCGACCCTCTTTGTCCGCCTTCACATATGGTTTGCAAACCACAGCGCTTTTGAAACAGAGATGAGTGTGTATCATTTGCCGCCAGCAACATAACAGTTATGCAATCGATATTCTCATGTACTTAGTTCAATTATCATATTTGGTATACCCTACGCATCAGGCCTGGGTTTCTCTTCGTCATACAAGTATTTCTCTTGTGTGTGGGAACTTTTGAAGCGTAATGTTCAACGACAATGATAACATACTTAAATCCATAACATATTTTCATAAAAGTTAATGAACAGTATTCAACGTTCCCACTAGAATCGCCTGAAGATTATACGGTATAAGTAGAGATGAATAGTCAGCTAAACGTCAGTGAGTCATTTAGAATTGCTCTAGAATGTTTGAAATTTATTGCCGATATTTCGACAAGTTATATAACAATTGATTCTGAAATCGTTTGTCTTGCAGTCATTTGTCCGAACCAAGCGCTACCAGATTGGGCGAAGTTATTGAAGTAAATTTATTTGGCTTTCAAGAGACCATATCCTATGGCAGTAAACAATTCCTATAATGTTTAGATACAGTAAATGAGTGTCCTAGGGACATGTTAAATAAGTATATTGTCTCAGGAATATGTTTTGGGAAAGTTTTAAAAAAATACATGCAAAATTGGGGTATATTCATCAGGCCTATATTCATCAGGCGTCCTATTCTTTATCATATTCAATGTCTTTCTGATAAGAAGACAATACGTAGTCAAAAGAATTTCAAAATGTTTTCAAGAGGAGGGAATGGTTTCCAGTATTGGACTTACGCAACGCTTTATGCTCTACTACATTATTGGACACCTTTTTCTTTTAATTTATTTGTGTTGTTTATTTCAAAATTTTGACTCAAAAGCTTACACATTAAAACTTTCATATCAGAAATTGTCGTAGACAATCTTTCCAATCCAACATCGGTTCAAATATCTTCCATGAGCAATCAGAAAAGTCAGTCTAGCGCAATACGAACCTCAACGGGCGTTGTTTAAGATTATATTTCTGTTATGTTCATCTTTCACAAAAGGAATGAGAATTAGTCGAGCAAATCAACTTATTGGACCCTAAACGATACTGCTTACATATATTTTCGAAACTTCTTTGAAAAAATTCAGACCTCGCAAAATCGTTAAATATTACAGGTTTATAAGACAATATATTTAAATGAGGTAGCTCTTACATAAGGTTCACCTTAAAAGGTTTCTCAACATTTAAATTTATGTTAACCAATAATTTTTTAGAAGGGTATAAGAATACTTTATGACAACTATGCATGCATCCCATTCAAGCCATGTCAGCCAGATATGTAGCACACCACAGATGTTGTCGATTGAAACATTTGAACTTGACACTCAAATGTCCCTCATTAATTGTGACAGTTATAAATAAGAAGAGTGCAAAATTGACAAAAACAAAAGCCATACGAAATGAAAACAAAAAAAATCAATAAATGGCATTACGCTTTGAAATAAACATAGTAATTAAAATAAGCGAAAAAACAGTAAAACCAAAAACAACAGCAACAGCAATAAAGTACTAGTAAAAGCGAACGCTTTTGCTAAATCTGTTGACGATCAATTCCATGTTATGAGCAATTGTGGCAAGTTGGGGTGTTGCAACATGAGCATATGTAGCGTATATATAATATATATGTGTGTCTATATATTTTACATATTAATACACATGCGAGCACTTCTATTATGCGGGCCAAGTCATCTTGTTGTTTTCTCCTCTCTCTCTCTCTCTCTCTTACTCTTCCGACGCGAGCTCTTTTTACTTTATTTTACTAAATGGATTCGGTTTTTTTTTTAAGATAAATGTACAATACATAACATTTGGTCACATTACTTGCTAGTGTATTTTTGTCACCACTTTGCACAGAAATCATCCGCCGATCAAGCGCTCGTTGCTATCGATGCTTGGTTTTTGTCGATGTCAATTTGCGGTATTGCGGGTCTTTTAATTTCGTTTCCATTTCCATCGTTTGCATCCATTTGATATTATGTCTCAAGTTTGTATGCAGAGCTAAGTAATTAAGATTGAAAATTACACAATTGTGACTCTATACATATACCGGTACAGTTAGACGAAATTACAGGTGCATATTATTATAAGATGATATTGCGACTATAAAGATGGACTGCGAAGATAAAGGCCAACTATTAAAAAGTAGATAGACGGAGTAAGAAAGTTGTTTGGGAGAGGAAGAAAGATTAGATCGTTACAGGATCCAGCGTTCAGCTGGCGATGTGTTCGTTTTTGATTAAAAAAATAGTCGTTTTGATAAGTAGCAACTTAAATATAAAACAAGGGCTAAGTTCACAACTTGCAAGGTCCAAAGCCGGGGAGATATCTTCAGGTGTTTCCAAAACTTTATATTAAAATATTTGGGTATCTTAATAGCTTAGGTATATTATAAGTCGTAGCCTCAGTTAAGAACTACATTTTGCATGGCCGATATATTAATATTAAGATAAACCTAATAAGCCTCAACACATGTGATACAAGCTCAATCAAAACTACTTGTAATTTAATATATGAGGTATAAGGCAAAAATGCCAACCAAAGGATGGAAATCCTATTTTCGTTTCTGACTAATGAAAGTCCTTATATATAGTATATGCAGGCTGGGGTAATTCGTGGATTGACATTAAACAAAAGTATATCCAATATTAGAAGCTCAGTTAATTTGGTGAGATATCTTAACATACATTTTGAAAAACTCTTATATATGATAATTTTTATCAGTTTTCTTATATAAGGTATATGGGGGCTATATAATATTTTGACCCGATTCTATCTAGTTTTGGTATTACGACATATTATGACCAGAGTTTGAGGCCCTCTGAACTTCATTACCTCACAGATTGACCAATATATAAGGTATGAAGGCAAGCGGATGTTTGAAGATTAGTATTTATGTATACAAGTATGAGGCCTAAGGGAAATTTGCCCTGATTGATCCATTTAGGTCATAAGATACACTGTTATTCGAGAAAGAATATTATCGCATGCACGGACAGTTGGAAATTGAAGCGTTACCTTGAACTTTAATCTTTGCTACATATCTGGAAAATACTTATCCAAACAATATTCCATATAGGAACCTGGGTTTGATCGTTAAGTTCGTATGACAGCTATATTGCTATAGTAGTCAGACATCGGCGCTTCCGAAAAAGCAGCTCCTTGAGAGGACGTTTGCCAAATTTCAGATTGATATCTCAAAAACTGAGGAACTAGTTCGCGTATATACTGGCACACGGACAGACGGACATGGCTAAACCGACTCAGCTTGTTACGCTGCTCATTTATATAAATATTTTAAAGAGTCTCCGAAATAAAATTCGATAATTATTTGATAAATGGACAGAGGGGACTGAGTTTTAAAAAATATTACAAGATACAAAACCAAGCTATTAAAGTTTTTCTTGATGGAAAAAACCATGCCGTATGTATTTCTAAAAATGATTTGTTTAAGAAATTTGATTTTGAATTGGAATAAAAAATAGCTATTTAAAATGATGTATGTGAATATATAGACCCTTCCAATTCGCCAATTTAAACTTAAATCGCTGGAAAATTTTTCAACATATTTTTAGGCATCCGCAGTTCTTAAGTTAATAATAAATAATTTTACTTCTGCTCGTCTATTTTCGATCTCGACCTCTTATCTTACCTAGTCTTAAATGACTGCTTACTGCCAGGATATAATTTCCATCTTTTCCCAACATCGTCGATTAAGTTAAGATTACCACTGAAAACTTTTATAGAAAGGCTTTGGCCTGGAATGTTTTTTCTATCTGTCAAGGTACGAATGATTTCCGAATAGCAAATATATTATTAGGTCTCATAACATAATTTATTTTTCCT